TTTTGCTGTTAACGTAGTACATTCATTCCTTTTTTACAAACTATATAAATATGTAAAAACCCGTTAAATTTGCAAAGATACAGTGATTTTCAACAGAAACATATATTCAGCAAAAGACATCCTTCTGAAAAATAAGGAGTGCCTTTATTGACAAATGTCATTTATTCGGATATCAGTTGATGCCTTATGATTAATTATTGTTTCACAAAAATAAAGTTAATCAACAAACCTACGGAATGGTTTTTTTAGTGGTGGTGACGTCATTTCATTATAATACACTAAAATACATTTTTAAATTAATCTCTTCTTTGATTAATGGCTTAAAGAGTAAAAAAAAAACATGAGTAATATAAAGCACTGTAAGTATAGAATACATGAAAAAAGATTCTATACATTTAAAGACTAAAATGGTAGGAAATATGCGATTAGAAAAGGTAACCAAACAATTAATACATTTATTACTCCATTCTGAGATTTTGATTTATTAGATTTTCTGCTTTTTGTTTTCTTTAAGCGTTGATTTTCTTTTAACAAATTTACTGCAATAGAATATGACATGGTCCGTCATTCCTTTTCAGGTGTGCACAGTATTCCCTTCTCTCGCTATCATCAGGCTGACCTAAGTGACCATGTCGATCCATTTGAAGACATCTTCTGTGTCAGCATCTGTGAGTTCAATCCAAAAATCAATACCTGTAAATGACATTGAATAAAGACAAACTAATAATTCTGAAACCCAAATGAATACGGTATTCAATTTAGTTTTGTAAAAGTAAACTGTACAAATACAAAGTCAAGAAAACAATAGTTTAAGCTGTGATTGAAAACTGGTAGTACATGTATCACCTACTCGCTGAACTTTGAAGAATAAAGTATGGTTTAGGATTTCACGTATACTAATTTATAGGTTTAAGTCCAAGTATTATGTGAACTGTAGAAACAATCTTTAATAACTTAAGCTTTAAGAGCTACAAGTGCAATCTCACCAGACTCTTTGCTATTAGTCGCTCAATTTAAGTTTTTTTTTTAATTTGAAGTCCCTTACCAAATAATGAAATAAACTTTACATGTACTTACCTTTAAATGTACTTAGATGGTTTCTTAGGAACGTGTTTTCATCTACGTTTTCTATATGGACTAAATCAGGATGAAGTTTGAGACAATTGGCCTGCAATAAAGATTCATGATTTTTCATTTCAAGATAAAGAACTGCTTTAAAAACTACTTAGTCTAACTAAAATGGATAACATGGATTTTTTTCAAGTATTAGGTGGGAACCTCTCAAGGATCATTCATTAAACAAAAAACATCAAAAGGGGAGTCAAAACCATTTAGTTTTCTACGTAACAAATTGACTAAAAAACTAAAAAAGAGGAAAACAGGATACTTAAGAGTCTTTATCCAGACCGAAACTAATTATTTTTAAGTTATTAATTATAAATGGTAGTACTAAGTAGAGAGGTATAAAACCTTCAGGTTCCTAATACTTTGGTGATGTTTGTGTTTTTATAAAAATGTTATAAATTGGCTGTAAGGATGATATATTATGTAAGGTTGGTCGTACCTTTTGAGTGTCGTTACTTACATAAGCCTCCTTATTTGTCGATATTATAAAAAAAAACTTTCTGTAGTGTCTAACATGTGCTGAGATAGTTTTGAAATGTTCCTTTAAAGTATCTTTCAATGTTTCCGATGAAAACATATTGATACCCTTTGGTGGTAATCTTCCATTGTTTAAAAGCCTGATGGTAACTAGTGATATGTTATTGTTGTCTTGTTAACTATTTATCAAAGCCAGCGACTTAATAGATTTTCACAGATTTAGGGGTACAAATAATTTTCCTCCTTCCTCCTTTATCTTTTGTAGTAAACGTTTCAGCAGCAATAATTGCCACGATGATTTTTCTAAACTGAAACATAAAACTTTACTGAATTTGTAAAGACTTTAAAAAATATCGTTTTTAATCACCAAACCACTTGTTACTATTTTCTTTATTTTCTCTGTAAGGCCAACTGTTTAAAAAATACTCCTTTGTTTACATTTTAATTTTATTTATTTTAATTCATGACAAATATGTCTATATTCAGCGCCACTTACAAGCTCTAAAATCATTATTTGACGTTGTAAAACTTATTTTTACCAGTGCTAAAGACAATGCTAAAGAAGGGAAAGTTTATTCATGTCTGAGTCATTTATATGAGCAATCAGCATAGTTGTATTTCAAATGACGTACGTTTTGCATCTATTATTTTAAGTTAATATCAATGAGCACAAGAACGTAAACATCAATCGAACAAGTATGACAATTAGTTTGTCAATAAATCATATTCAAGCTTGCCACAGAAAAAAACATTTTCGGTGGTAGTAATAAGTGTCCGGTAGTAATAAGTGTCAGGTCAAATTAAAAAAAAATAAGAAAAGAAAATTAGAAATAAACATTCCCATATGTACCAGTTTGTCTTTTCGTAAGAGAAGAAAGGCTTCTTTTATGCAAAAGCTATCATTAATCTCACTTTTATAATTAATTTCAAAATATTTGCCAACTAATACTGTAATAATGAGAAGCTAAAATAGGTCAATTAGAGTTGTATCATGATTAACTTCAATTTGACAGTTGTAGAAATATTTAGAGCACCATACCAAATTAAACCATTTCATCAAATGATTATTTCAATACAGGTGTTTCAATGCAGACCTCCTAAGTCTTTACTGAAATGATATAATGCAATAATTATACATTAACAAGTAATTCTTGGCTGTTGACGTATGAATATATAAGACTGTAACTTATTTAATCTTATTACACGAATACAAAACTTACGTATGTTAACGGATTGTTTTACTTTCTAAAAAAACGTAGACAATATCAGAAGTATATTTATATTTTTGGAAAAAGGAACAACGCATAATTATGATATGAAAACCTTTGGCTTATCAAATTTTTATAACTTGTATGATACCGTATAAGTGGTTTTTTCTGCGGGCTCAAAATTCTGCGGTTTTTCCAAATTTTGGCATGTTTTTATTTCTGCGGACTTTATTTCTGCGGCACTTTCTTTGGACAAAACGTGATTTAAATTCTGCGACTCGTCTTATCAAAGTCTATGTCACATTACCCTATCTATTATATTTGCATGTACACGTTCGCATGTGTTCATCGTCGTTGGGACAAATTATTGTCTATCGGTCTGTCTGAGCTAAGTTATGGATAATAATATGATTATTGGAACATAAAGTAACTGTAAAAGCTTTACCAAGTGTAACAATTGTAATTAGTTACAACAATAGAGAGAACAATAGAGAACAATAGAGTAGCACATAAGAATTTTCCGTTCGGAACGTAAGTCCGTCTGTCCATAGAAAGTTTCCGCATCATATCTTTTGAAGGGTATCAGTAACTGTGCTTCTATTTTGCACGAACATATGTTCCTCAAATCTTAAATCCAGTTCATTTTTGGCTGCAAAAATGTTATTATTAATAGAGTAATATTAACTTTAATGCATTATGTTAAAGAATCAAACTGTTTTCACATGAATACTTTTCAGTAACCATATTTATTTTGGCATGCACGTATGTAAAATTATCTGTCTCATCAGAATAAGATTTGAAGAACTTCAGTGATTTGTATTCACTTCAGTGTTGTTACTTTTTTTCTGGTCCTTCGGTATCATACATTTCATGTTAAAAATTGAGTACCGCTCAAACCGGTGTTAAGAACATGAGAGATGTTACACTTTTTCAGTATCCTGCATGTACAGACTCAATCAAACCGAGTCGTTTGCAATTTGAATATAATTTTGTTATGATTAATGCTTCTAAGGGATCATCCTTTCTCCAGTCCTTTATGTTTGACAAGCAAATATATCATAAAAACTAAGGTTAAGAACGATTTTCACTGCAATTAAGTCATAATTAAAAGAGTCATGTCCCGTTTTATGCAATTTTGAAGTGAAATTATTGGTTTCCATAGAATAAGTTTTTTAATTAATTGATGCTCGCTAAATAACCCATTTTATTTATAGTTATGCGTTTTAAAGCATTTTTTAAATTTCAACAAAAGGACGTCAATGGTTCATCAATGTTTATAAATATCTGGCATACATTTGCTATATGTTATGCCAAAGATCTGTCATGGATTTTCGTTGTAATCAACTCATTATTGACTGAGTTATGCCAATTTCAGCACATTTCTGTAACATTATTAGTTTAGATGTGTAAACTTTGTATTTGGCATGCAAGTTTGTTATACATAAACACAGGACAGTTCTCTTTCTGCAATAAGATAATGCAACATTGATTTAATTGTTTTTTTTTCTTATAAAAATGAAGTGAATTCATTATGTTATCTTCTATAACTAACATATTATCTTGTAACTATCAAAAAAAATTGGATACTCTATATTTTTCTTTTACATTTGGTAGAAAATTAATTCATAAATTGTTAAGCCGAAATAATATATAAATAGTTAAGCCCTAACCTTTCTTGAATAACATAAAAATACCGACCAGTCAAATCATGAACATGATTATTTGGGCGTTTCTATTGATAAAAAGCATACAGTCGCGTGTCACGTGTCATAGAATAATATATATTAAGCTGAACAAACTGTACAAAGGACTTTGCTACAAACAAAATTCGTTTAGTTCAGTTAACATGAAAGGATATATAGGAGTTGTCTTTGCGTTGTACATTGCCTGTTCTGTTGCGACACAGCAATGTTCCAAATATCACTATGAGGAACAAATTTTATCAAAAGTAGTCCGACTGGAACACAGGCTAGACATACTGGAAGAAAAACTCAGTAAAGAAGGTAAATATATTTTTATATATGTATAACTTCACAAAGTGTTTTGTAACTTCCAATATTCAATTACACCATTGAAAAGAAATGTTTTTTACAAGGTGCTTAAAGCTACATTAAATAAATATGTAAAAATATTTTGCCGTCGACCTAAAAATCAAGCATTTTACAGTATCATTAACCTGTTTAACAGTATTGTTGTAAATATCACCAAATATTGTTTATAAATTAGGATTTTAAACGGAAAATCCCACGGTAACACTAAAGTTCGTATACGAATTTTAACATGCAAATGAAGATTATAATCAGCTTGTGTATGCGCTACGTCACAGTGTTATAGCTGCTATCAGGAACACAACAAATATGAGATTTTCTTGTGCAAACACACTTTAACCGTTAAACTTCACGGTGCACAAGGCTTGAGGTTTAGTAAAAAAGTAATCAGGGTTAAGTAAAAAAGTAATCATCTCATGAAAATATTAAATTTGTATGAAAACATCCGTTACATTGCGGAAATATACCGTTAAATTAGGACTGTTGCTTATAGTCATGTTTGTTAATTTAATGTTGATGTACGAATGATCTTAAGGCGGAGTTTCTCATGCAAACAGATGTTGTACTTCCGATTTCGCCACAATGAGGTTGTCCATTGTTTATGCTTATAAAACTCATTTTGGATGTCTGGACACCAAAATAAGATCTGGAGTCGATATGAAACCCAATTTATTAATGAATTGTCGCTATTTCTGTTTTTATGAAATTTATTAAATGTAACTTTAAGCAAAATCAAGATTTTATGTATGAACAGTGGTAGAATAAAAGTGATAGAACACTCATTTTGTATGGTGGAAACAGTTCTTTCTTTAACAGATTATATTTAACTTATTCTGTTATTCTTATGAATATGTATAAAGCTATATATGTTATCTTTCACAAAGACAACAACAAAGACATGGATAACCAACTTGAAGATAAAGCGTGCACACAATGTCCAGATGGATGGATCCAATACGCCGGTTCTTGTTACATGATTATGGAGGAAAAACTTTCCTTTGATGAGGCACGAGTACGTAATAAAATTAACCACAGCTGCCTTTTGTTGTCTTTCTGAAATTTATGAACTATCAAAGTCAAAACACACTCTTTTTGTAAGATTTATGTTATCAATTTTTCCTACTGGAAGACTTTTATTATTTATATCGTTCATAACTTTAGAATCGTAAATATATCGCAAAATTGGCACCTTTCGGCTTTCGTGGATGCTGTATTCTAATGTCCCAAATTTTGATTTTGAGATAGCATTGAAACATATGCATGACATTATACTAAATGTCATTTAAGATGTTAATACGTCAAAATTGAAATTTGCGTTCAAAGTTGTGTGTCTGAGCTGTTGTTTGTCACGACAAGACTGTGCCCGCAAAAAGTGACCTCACTTTTTAAGTTAAAAGCGCATTCGTCCCTATAGAAGCCTGTACATGACCTTTCTCCCTGTAATCACGTGATCCGAGGCGCGCATTAATGTTTTAAACCACTTGATCATATTCAGATGCAGTTGAAATTCATAGTTGGGCTAAATTTCTATTCTCGGAGGTTGTGACTCTATGAAAATGCTTTAAATATTGCTGAATCGTTTCATTCTTCAAGTAAGCAAGAAACAAAGTTGTCGACTCTCCTTTCGCGTAGTATTTGTACAGAATAAATCTGATAGGTGTTGATCCAACCCTTGAATGTTTTTATCTATAACATACGACAGTTATATTTAAAAAAATATTTTTTTTAAAATTGAAAACTCACATATATATCTTTTTTTTGCAGGCCAGTTGTCTGAAACTTAATGCTGATTTAGTCCATATAGAAAACGCAAGAGAGAACACGTTCCTTAGAAACCATCTTAGAACATTAAAAGGTAAAGTCATGTAAAGTTTATTTTATTATTTTGTCATGTATATCATCATTATTCTTTAATCATTAAAATGTTTCTTTAAAACATAATTTAAATATCATATGTTCTTAACCATGACCAATCTGACGGATTTGACTGGCTTTAAATGTGAGTCCATCGATGCAAATCAATACTTAAATTGAACCACTTGAAGCATATTGGGCTTGTCAGACAGCACTTTTAGCTATAAGTGCAGGTTAAGGTTTTACCAAATAGGTCAATTCACTAAAGGTATAAGACAAAAAGGTAAAACAAAACCAATAAAAAAGTATATTTCTTGTGTGAAATCCTAGCAAATACTTTTTCTTCTAATTTCAGCGAAATATACTTCCAGTTTCAATCCTAGCATTAACTGTCGATTTCTTGATTTTATTTTGAAGAGTATTTTTTTCTACAAGACTAGATTGAATACCGTATTCATTTGGGTATCTGAATACTTACTTTATTTGAATTTAAATGTCATTTACAGGTACTGCTTTTTGGATTGGACTCACAGATACGGACACAGAAGGTGTCTTCAAATGGGTCGACGACAACTCAAAGGCATCTTTTACGGATTGGGATGGAGGTCAGCCTGATGATTACGGGAGTAGGGAAGATTGTGCACAATTTTATGCGGATTATGATCTAAAATGGAATGACGGAAGATGTTTTGCTATTTTACAATCAATTTGTGAAATGAAAGTCAAAGTTTAAAGAAAATAAAATGCTCGGAAATCGTATAATCTCAATAACCCAAAATCGAGTAACAAATAAATAACTTGTTCAGTTAACTTTTGAAAATGGCTTTTTGTATATTTTCAACCATTTCAGAAAAACGATATACTCTTCAAAATGTATAGATGAATTCTTTTTAATTACTCTTAGCTAAAATTGCGTTGCTAATGTTTTACTCCGTACGACTCTTTTTAGTCAAAGAATATTTTATTATTATTAACGTATTTCTGTGTCTTATGACGGTGTATAATGACAAAATATGAGCCGTGTCACGACAAAACCAACATAATGGGTTTGCGACCAGCATGGATCCAGACCAGCCTGCGCATCCGAGCAGTCTGATCAGGATCCATGTTGTTCGCTTACAAACCCTATAACAAGTAGAGAAACTGATAGCGAACAGAATGGATCCTGATCAGACTGGGCGGATGCGCAGGCTGGTCTGGATTTATGCTGGTCGCAAACCCATTATGTTGGTTTTGTCGTGACACGGCTCATAAACGTCCCAGCTTAAAAATATTTTAATGAAATAAATTTGTTGAAAATGACTGTATCATTGCAAATGTAACGGATCTTGACATATTCATATAGCTGAAAATCAAGTACTGAATGTATTAAATAAAGATTAAATTGAAATATTTTATGAATCCATTGGACCCAACATAATTATAACTGTTTGCCAATCAGGTTTTTTAAGCTACGGAAGTAAATTAAGATGGTATTTTAGAGAACTATATCCGAAACTTGGGTACTCAATTGGTTTTCGCTTTACATTTCTAGTTCATTTTTTTAAAGCAAAAATTACCTTATTATTCTAGATTGCTGATATTTTGGAAGCACGATATTCTCCTTGTATCAAGATAAACAAGTTTGTTATTATATATTATTTAATTCAAGTGTTCACTATGTTTAAATTAAATAATCAATCTTAATAAACCATCTGATAGACTTATCTTTATTTTTTTAACAGAAAAAAAGAGATAACCCAACAACAAAATTACAAAAAAAAACACCAACAACATATGGGTATACATGACTTACAAGAAAAGTTCACCGATGATTTTCAATTTGTTCAATGTAAATTTTTAGTATCATGCCAGTTCTGAGTAAAACAATCTATCAATCTGTTTCTAAACATTTTAATTAACAATTAACAATCACCAACAGTTTGTGATATCCATGCATATCCAAATCCGTATTGGAATAAAAGTAATTTAACTTTTGTTGTCCAGCAATTTCTTCCAGCATTGTCAGGAGCATATAACATTAAGTAGCATTGTTTTGGGTATCTGTGAGAGGGCATTTCCAGTAACGTACACAATTTGTGTGATATGTAATACATGTATTTGTAGTTTGACGTACATATAAACGTTTTCTACATAATTGATTATCTATAGATTCAATTTTGGAACTATATTGATATCCCAATACTTGGGAACCGTAACATAAAATTGGTTTGATACAGGTGTCAACAATCTTAAAAAAATCCTTAATTGGAAAATAATCAAATGGTTTCTGAATATGGCGTATGACATTAAGTGATCTTTGAGCTTGACAGGGGAAATATACCAATTTGTAAAATTTTATTGCACAATATTAACAAAGTTGGAGCAACATCGTCCATTGTGTATTTGTAAAACTCAGCCGGGATTCCATCAAAACCATTACTTTTGTTATTAGAAAGTTTTGATATAGACAAAAAATTTCTTCTAATGTAAACATCTGATTTAAAGAATTGGCTGTAATGTCTGCATGAATATGTTCGTTACCTAAATTGGGATCTGCAGTTGTTACGTTCTCATTAGATGATAAACTATGAAAATAAGAAAATCATTCTTCTCTATTTATACTTTTATCAATTGTTGAATCTGGTTTATGCCGTTTTAGAATTTTCAAAAACAAGGTAGCATTATCACTTGCATCTATTAAATCTTGCCGATTAATTCTCTGATACTCATACAACCTTACATTGCAAATATATTTAAAATCATTTCGTTTTCCTTATATGCTCTCAAGTCAGATTCTAGATTTTATGATCGGAATTTGCTACGAGCTTAAAATTTCACAGATTTCAGGTAATCACATTTCTCATCCCACCATGGTGGTTGAGAAGATACGTATCTAAAAGTTCGTAACATACACTCACCAGCGTTCTGGTAAATCAAAGTTAACCTGTCTATCGCCAAATTTACATTATCAGCAAAAGAGCTTTCGATATAGGCTTTATTTTCGATCAACAAAGATTTTTACTTACTAATAAACGTACCTGTCAAAAAATTACGCCATCTAAAATTCTGTAGATAATGATAAGAATTATATTCATTGTTAGACTGCTCATTATATTTAGTGTTTAACTCAAAAATACATGAAATAGGAAAATGATCTGATTCATCCCTTTTTAAAAACTTGAAATCCTTAGAATATGAAAACAGCCCTGTAGATGCAATCATGTAATCAACAACACTTGCAGCATCATTAGAAAAACATGTAAATTCTCCTTTTCTATCACTAGAAAAACGACCATATCAAAAATACAACACATATTTACTAATGATTTTCCGAAATTATTACCTCGATACATATCCTTATTTTTCTGAGGAATATCAAAATTGCTACAATCATATTCAATATTATGTAAATATAATCTAGTGTATCATTTGGTATGTAATCCAAAAAACATTTACATCTAGAATTCACGTCTCCTGCAATATATAACATTGATTGCGGATAATCGTAGTTTATAATATCTAAGTGCTTATACATTGTATCTACGCCATTTTTAACATCAATATTATTATAAAAACAAGACCCTTCAGGTGATATACGAGGGACGGTCAGAAAATATCCGGACTTTTCATGCTCCTCTCTTTCCACGTGCAGCTATATACACACATTATATATTGGTGAAAACTACATTCATTTGCCAATAACGTGGTCAGTTTATTTTCAATGATAGTTGTGAATTTTGCCATCTGAAATATGATAGGTGTTTCGTCTATCATGGACTTTTTGTTTGAGGAACAACGCTCTGTAATAAAGTTTCTGGTTGCAGAATGTGAAAAGCCCTGCCACATCTTTCAGAGGCTTAAAAAAAGATTTTCTGATAAATGTGTATCACGTTCAACCTTCTACAACTGGGTTTCTCAGTTTCGTGAAGGCAGAACAAGTGTTTGTGACAGGCCTAGGACTTGGCGGCCAGCTGAGGCGGTGACCCCATCAATGGTAGCAAATGTTAAAGCTTTTGTCAACAAAAATCGTCGAGTAACTTTGGAGGAGATAGCCAACAAGTTTAGCATCGGTAAGGCATCGGCACACAAGATTTTACACGAACACCTAGGCATGAGCAAGGTAAGTGCCAGGTGGGTGCCTAGACAGCTGTCCGCAAATCAAAAGGCAACCAGAGTAACCAATTCAAAAGAACATTTAAGTCATTTTAATCGTGAAGGGGATAAGTTTTTGAACCGCATTATCACTGGAGATGAGATGTGGGTTCATTATTCCGAACAAAATCTCAGTCAAAGCAGTGGAAACGAGCTGGTTCCCCACCTCCTAAAAAGTTTAAGCTGTCTCCTTCGGCTGGCAAAGTTATGCTTGTTGCCTTTTTGGATTCACGAGGAATGATACTTACTCATTTCATGCCAAAAGGTCAAACTGTCACCGCCAAGTACTATTCTGAAGTAATTCTGAAATTCTCAGAGAAAAGCTGAAGCAAATGCGTCCCAGGGTAGCACAGAAAAATGTCCTTCTTCTTCACGATAACGCCCCCTCCCATACCGCCGCAGCTACAGTGGAGGTTATCATCTCTTACAAATGGCAATTGTTGTCTCACCCTCCTTATAGCCCAGACCTCGCCCCTGTGACTTTTATTTGTTTCCAGAACTGAAAAAATTGCTTGCTGGAAAGAAATATAAGACCAGGGCGGCTTTGATATCTGCTGTTACACAGTATCTAAAACATAGGTCTACGTCATGGTTCACAGCGGGAAAACAAAAGCTCCCACGAAGATGGCAAAAGTGCGTAGACGTAGGTGGAGAATATTTCGAAAAAAAATTTTTTTTTTTAAATGTTGAATGGTTTTCGAGAACGAGTCAAAAGTCCGGATATTTTCTGACCGTCCCTCGTATAAGTAAAATACATAATAATATCATCACATTGAAAGTATTTGATAATTTGCAATATAAGACAATACAATTTTCAAAGTGATCATAAATACGCTGTATCGTAACTAATTTACTAAAACTACTTTTAACAAATACACCTATAATACATCTATTTTTTATAGCATTTGGTTTTATATTTCAAATAAAATCAAAATTAATGTATGACTTTAGTAAATTATCAAATTCCCCATATTCTGTCTTATGACGGTGTATTATGACAAAATTAACGCCCCAGCTTAAAAAATATGTTTATGAAATAACCCATGTTTCGCGCATATGTATATATCAAATTTACACAAAAAACTAATAGTTTCACAATTATAATTGTGTTTTCTTAAACCACAAATGTTCCATGATAAAAAATTCAATAAATGTTTATTGTCATTGTTATTAGGACATTAGCCTAATTCCTATTCGGAAAATAATTCCGACTCGACGTCATCTTCAGATATTCCCGTTGCTCCATCCATTGACCGAGGATGTTGATAATCAGCCAATCGCTGAACGTTGCTCGAGAGGTAGTTCTCACGACCACGTGGCGTTGCACGTGTTCTTGATCGCTTGCCAACCAATACAATTTCATCAGTGAGGTCATCATATTCACAGTCCGTTATTTCGCTCACTTATCATGCTGTCTCCAAGAAGTTTTTGATGACGCCTTACACGATCTGAATAATCTTGCTGTACAGCATACTGTTTGCGCTGGCCAGGTTTAAATTATTGTGTAGCCCTCTTGAAAATCAGCTGACAGTCTTTAAACCGAACAAAACGGGCAATTATTGTAAATGTATTGCTGTCACTCGACTTAATCCTGTGGGCTCTCGGTCAATATCGATCTCATCTGTTTGGTTACCAAATTTTAACTCATTTCTAATTTTTTTTTCGAAGAACAGACC